CAGCAATTGTGCCTTCATACTGAGAGAAAATGTTTCTCCTGAAAGTTTCCTAGAAAAACTGTGTGAGGTTAAGTCAATCAGACACTCCGTGGATATAAAACATCTTTTGTCCATTGAACTGAGTGAAGTTAACTTAATAAACACCCAGGGGTGAGGAAAGGCTAAAGCTGACCTCATATCAAAATGAATTGTGTCCATCAGAAGTTACAGAATCATAGAATCACTGAGCTGGAAAAGACCTGCAAGATCATCAAGTTCAGTCCAATATTGTCAAATATTGTCAAATACAGAGTGAGGCATCCAGAAGAGTGAATAAAAGCCATTCAGCCAAGAGCTGTGTGAATTAATCACTATCCTATAGTCCATCTGACCCCTTGCTCCTTGCACAAGAAGCCCACAGGTTTTCACAGATTCATGGAATCATTAAGGTTGGAAAAGAGCTCCAAGGTCATCCTCTCATTTTGTTTAGAAGAGGTGCAATTTCAGACATCTGTAATATGTTTCCAGGTGATCTGTCTCCTGAATTTCACAGCAGTTCTATAATTGTGTATCAACATTCTCTGAGGTGTCCTGACACACAGACCCAAAACTCCAGGATTTTGCTAAAGAATATTAGTAGTTATCTTCAACACCATTAAGGAAGAAAGATTGGTTTGTAACTTAATTGCATATTTGGTTATGTTTTTTTAGTTAAGAAAAATAAATTAAAGTGAATTTTCTGTGAGATTTCATATATCTTTGAGGTATTTAAGAAATAGAACAATGAAGATGCTGAAAAATATTCAGTCAACAGACTGGAACTGTGCAAAAGCAGATAGAAATAGAGAAGACAAAAAGGAGCAGCTCCATCTTCTACACAGAGAGCAGCTGAAGACTAAGAACAGTTAGGTAAAACTAGGATTTAGGTTTAGGAGGAGACAGTTTGAAATATAAAGTTCAGTGCCTAATGAACATCCTGATGCAGCACAGATGTCATGTTGGGTCTTTGCAGAGAACTAAGTTTTACATTAAATGCAGCATTTCTGAAAGATGGGAGACTGATAACTCTCTAAGGTGAAATTCTCTACCTAGTCAAGGGCAAGAAGAGTTCAGCCTAAACAGGAGGTATTTTAACCTATGTTTTTTGTGTCTGTTGAAGTATGAAAGTCTTGGTAATCTTCCCTGTTTTTCAAGTCCTAGGTCTGAATATGTGGTTTATGCATGGGAAAATTAAAAATCTGGAATTATTCAGGTGTTACCTCAGGTGTTTTGGAAGTGATGCTGCAGACCTAATTAAATTTTGGAAAAGATCTGTCAAGGAGATTACTGAGGTTCCTGAAAGTCACTTTAATATGTTCAGCATTTTGTGATAAAATAGATCCTTCAGTTTATTAAACATGAGCTGTGTTGAACTTTTCATTATAATGACATCCTGTGCATTCATGGTTTGCTCTTTATCCTTCAGTTTGAAATATTGTCACCATTCTTTTTTGCACAGATTTATCACGGAGATGATGAATGAACCATTGGCCAGAGAAATTGGGTTCCTCTAATCTAAACCTCACAAATCTACAGAGCTGAAATTTGTGTGACAAACTCAGTCCAGGTTCCCTCTGAGGTCAATGGATAGATTTAGGATGTGATAAGAATTTCCTTAAGGGCAGAAGATTTGTCCTTTTGTGTCAGTGGTTCTTGCTCTTCATTGACAATAAAGGGAATTTAAGTCTGCATTTAATTTAACTAAAAATAGATGCCTTCATTGCAGATATATCACAGCATTAAGTTAATCAATATATACATAAATAGATGTACTCAATACCCACAGGATTTACAACAGGAGTCACCTTTTGTTAAAAAGACATCTGTAGTGCACAAGAATTATGTTATAAAAGTGTATTTTTCTCTGCATTGGCTTTAGAGACATTTTAAAAATAATTTCATTATCAATATCTACACTACATAGTGTCCAAACTTCGGTGAGGTAAATGTTGCTTTTCAAGACTACACACCTTGATGTCTTCATTGCAAAAGTTCATATTTGATCAAAGTATTTCATTTAGGACAGCTTTTGAATTGGGCAATTCCCTTACTGTAGAGAGGCAGGACTAAATGGCAAACAAATAATCTAATTTTCCTTCAAAGTCTATGGTTTCAAGATTTTTGCTTCTTTTTTGATTTTTTTTCTCTCAAAAAGGTTCAGAGGTTGAAACTTCAGCAGTCTCCTTAATAAATGTGGACGTGCAATGGAAATATAAAAGCACAATTCTTTCAAATACTGGTCAAATTAGACAACATTCATATTTAGGGTTTCTTTTAGCATAAAATTCTAATTTCATTATTCCATAGAGGAGTGAGGGAGAACAGAGACACCATTATTTGTTTGTACTAACACTTAATGGAAATTTCACATTCATAGCCATGCTACTGGAGAAAGTCTTGTGTTTGAAGGGATTTTAAGGAAGATAACAGCTGGAAAACAGAGTGTCAGCCTCAACACAAATTGATATTCAAATTGCTTTTGGGGTTTTTTTTAAAGTAACCTTAAGACTTGACTCTCCCTGGGGGAATATGAGCAAGGCTTTTGCTAGACCTTTTGGAGAACATTATCTTCCCAACAACTGAACAATTATTGTCCTCAGAACTTCTAGATCCACCCCCTCCAAGTTTCTTGCCTGTCTGAAAGAGTGGGGAAGAAAAGAGGATTAATATCTTTGGCTGTCACACACCTGAGAATTCCACTGTATCCTTTAAGATTTTCATTCCCTGTTGCACATAAACTGACACATCTCACAGGACCTGCTTTAAGTCTTCTCTCTTCCCAGTGTTCATGAAAAAAAAAAAACAATTTATCATCACCATTTATAAGCATTAATGTCTCTCAAGGTTTTTCTTATCATTAAGATCTTCTTTTCCTCTTTATTGATCTTTATGTTATTTAATGCATTTTCTTCCTCGCTTTTATGACAATATTGAAGACAACACCTCAAATAAGTTGATGATGGCATTATATTTCCACATCCTACAAACTAATTATGTGATTAATGCCAGAAAACTGACAATAAAAAAGACTTCCTCTGCATATTCCCCTGAATTAATCTCCCAAGAGTGCAGCGAGACAGAACATATTAATAGACAATTCTGTTCTGACTTTTAGATCAAAACAACATTTGTCCTTTTGTTGTTGTTGTCATTAAGTCTGAATATAAATGATAGAAGATATGGAGAGATTATTTTTTTTGTCCAGTTTATTACCTTTAGCTTGTTTTTTTTTTTTAATTCCATTACTACTTTATGACACTTATATTCTTTACATCCCTTTTTTACAGAGACAACATCATTCTTTAATCTCTTCCTCAAAGTTTCTGTTCCTTTTTATTAACCTGATTGTATGTCCATAGAGAAAACTTTATGACACTTCTATTCTTTACATCCCTTTTTTTACAGAGACAACATTATTCTTTAATCTCTTCCTCAAAGTTTCTGTTCCTTTTTATTAACCTGATTGTATGTCCATAGAGAAAAAGGACTAGAAAGGACTCCAAAAGCTCTTCTACACTGGCTCACTCCTGTATAGATTACTTTTTTAGATATCATCAAAGCTAGACACTGAATGCTCTTCATCACCCTGCTCTGAGGTTGTTCCTCTCTTTTCAAAAGATTTTGGCCAATGTCTAATTTTATCACCCACAAGAAGTGTGTTCTCTGCTTGGTGGTGTGAGGTTTGGTGTCCATCAGATTTCTGGCTCAGGTGTGTCCAGTGCAGTCTCCAGGCAAGAGCTGGGATAAATTTATCCCCATTGGAGCCCAAAGTCTGACTGAGAGACACCAGCACTGCACTCATGTCCCATTCCCAGATCACTACTGAAGATAATTGTGCTCACAAAATTCTTGAAAGTGTATTAATTAAATCTTCTAAAACAAACAGATCAGTTTGGGTTATCACTGAGCATGAATTAGAAATTCAAACCTGTCTGCAATGAACCAAGTAGATAAAAGCAGAGGGACACTGAGTTTGAACAAATATGCAGCTCTTTGAAAAATCTTGGCAGTTTTTTGCCTTCCTTTGTCCTCCATCTGCCTTCTTCACTTACCTGAACATAATCAATTATATTCTTCCCCTCTGAAAATATCTTGGAGGTTTTTTAGGTCACTTTGTTTGTAATAAAGCACTTGCCTTATTTTCAGAACATTTGCTTTCTCTTTGCTCTTTCTTTTGCTGCTCAATCAGACAGTGACGCTCACCAAAACATGCACAAGTCTTTGCTGGCCCCTGCTTTGGGTCAATTTCACCAGTAATGTGTTCACATGTAAAGCATTCATTTCCAACCCTTTGGTTTATATCAGCTGAGCTTAATTTCCCTTTAAAGTCTCTTTATACTGAAGCAGTGAAATAGTTAAACAGTGGAATTGCACTTAGGTTTCCAACAGTATAAATTAAGGCCAAAATCAAACCTACAGGAACAGTTGTGAGTACAGGAACATGCAGGGGGGTTAACTTTTACTTGTATGGCTGTTGGTTTTTTAGCTTTATTTGTGTGGTTGTTTTGGATTTTTTTTTTTTTTCTGTGCAGAAACATATTCACACACACACACACACACAGAGAAATCAACAAAAAGAAGTGATTTCAAACACTCCACTGGGATTAAGCAATTGGGTGAGAGGTTTATAATTGTACCATAGTAGCAGTCTGAATCCCTTAGCAAAATTCCCCTCATTTTTTGGCATGGTAGGAGAAAATTCCTGCTTATAATAATGCAAATAAAAATAGCAGCAGCGAGCATTAAGCATAATTAATGTGCCATTACTGTAGCAGTGTGAAGAAGGGGGAGCAAACTGCAGTGTGTGTGCAAAGAGTCTTTGGGAACAATTAGGAATGTTGCATATTTGTTTGTATAATTACGCCGTGTACGTATTTCCCAAAAGTCTGTCAGCAAAATATTTTCTGTGCTTTCTTCTTTAATTAAAGTGCAGGTTGCTAGTTGCAAGGCTGCATTAAAGTTCTTTCCCTCTGTTGTGACAGGAGACTGGCTCGCTCCACCCTGCTGCTGATCCCTTTGTTTGGAATTCACTACACGGTGTTTGCCTTTTCTCCTGAGAATGTCAGTAAGAGGGAGAGGCTGGTGTTTGAATTGGGACTGGGATCCTTCCAGGTGATTATACACTGAATTCAGCTTTCCTTAGAACCAAACCCCTGTTCTTTATAACTACTTTGCATGCACAGCTCTCAGAGTGTGTCTCTGCTCATTTATGGGTATGTTTTGCATACCAGGATTTTGGGTTTGTTTGTTTGCTTCTTGTTTCGTTTTTTTTTTTTAACTCCACCTATTTTCTATTGAATGCTTTATTAAAACTATACTATAGTCTATATTACCTTAATACTATATTATAACTATACTAAAGAGATACTAAAAGATACTAAAGAAAAACCTGTGGCTGCCTTCAGACAGTCAGGCTCAGCTTCAAGTGATTGGTTAAGGAAACAAAACAATCCTCAGCAGAATCCAAATGACAAATCCCTTCAGGTAAATAATCTTCCTAACACATTCCACATGTGCAAAAACAACAGGAGCAGCAAGTAGAGATAAGAATTGTTTTCTCTTCTTCTCTCTGTGCTTCTCCAGAAAAAACTCTGGGAGAGAGAATTATCTCTCTCTCTGTTCAGAGAATGTGAATTCCACAATTTTCTGTCATTCCTTCAGGATTTGAATTACTTTCTTTTTTTTCCTCTCCCATTTCCCTAGGGTTTTGTTGTTGCTGTTCTCTACTGCTTCTTGAATGGGGAGGTAAGATTTTTAATATTAAATGTCCTTCACCTGTCATCCACATCCCATTTTCTTGTGGGAGTAACTGCTGTTCTAACTGTCCATTCTAACTCATTATCTACCATAATCCCTGATACTTTAGTCTGAATCTCACAATTCTCAGAAAAAAAAAAAATAAAGAAGAAGAAAAAGTATTTATGATATCTTTATCAAACCAAAACATTGGCCTTACCAGAGATGTTGGCTCAGATTAAGGCTTCCTGACAGGTAGGATATGGACAGGTCTCTTTTGACATGTCATCCCAGGTACAGAATTTTGCTCTGATTTTGTTGAATTTTGCCCTGTCCTTGCCAGCCCACTCTCCCAGCCTGTGCAGCTCTCTCCAAGAGGTCTGACACATCTCTGTCCCCCACCCAGTTTGGAGCCATCAGCCAAATTGGTGATGGTGCTTTCAATATGAGATTCATCAGAAGATGGTGAGGGCCTGGCACACGTGAAGCTGTGGCTGCCCCTGGATCCCTGGAAGTGTCCAAGGCCAGGCTGGACAGGGTTTGGAGCACCCTGGAGTAGTGGAAGGTGTCCCTGCCATGGCAGGGGGTGGAAGAGATGACCTTTAAGGTCTCTTCCAGCCCAAACCATTCCATGCCCTGTGGAACAGTGTGGGCTCCAATATCAATACCTGGAGGACACCATTAGTGATAAGATACCAGGCTAAATAAAAAACCATTGTTCACCTCGCAGTGTGGTCTCCTTCCCCTCTTGCAGATCATCTACCCACCCTAAATCTGGCCAGCTTTCCTAGGAAAAGGCTGAGGAGAACAGTGTCAAACCCTCCACTGAAGGCTGAGTTTTCTTGGGCACCACCCAACTGGTGCCAGCTTCTCTCCTGAGCCCTGCCACCTTCACCCCTACACACACACAGCCCAAGGGTGTCAGGTGCCCAGAGCCATCCCCCAGACACCACCTGGGTGCCTTGCAAGCCTCACACTCCTCTCAGCACATGGCAACTGCTGCTGGCCACATCTGTGGTTTCTTCTGCTTCTCCTGTTCCAATCTGCATTTCCCTTCCTGTTTGTCTGACTGAACAGCTGAAGTAATTGTTTTCTGAATTGATGGAAAAGGTTTCCCTGCTCAGTGTTGCCTTAAGAGGAGCATGGAACGTCTAGAGTTCATCCATTCTCTCCTCCACTGCTACACATCTCTTGGGCAGCACAACAGTTGGAGTCTTCTCCTAAAATCAACTTCTTTCCTCCTTTTCAAGGGGGCTGACTGCTGGTATAGCCTGGCATTGCTGATCTCTGGTACAAAGAGGTCTCAAACTCCTTAATCCAAGTGATTCCCTCTCAGATAAACCACAACAATCTCCAAGCTCATCAAACAAACTTATGGGTTGTCTTTGCTCATGGGCATAGTCAAGGTCTCCTGAATTCCTTTGGAAGGAGTGTGTGGGGGGGTGGTTCTTAGCCAAACCAACACAACCAGGTTAATTAAAGCCATTTTCCCTCTCAAGATATCAGAAAATGGTAATTAGAGAATGTCTTGTGCCTCCACTAAATTTCCTACAGCAAGAAAATGTTTGGAATATCACACTCTTCCAGGTGCAAACTATTCCCTTTTTACAGAGAAAATATAACTCAATTCTCTATCTAATTTTTAAATATCTATGTTTTAGACAACTTTAACCCAAATAGAAATTTGTAGGTCTTAGAAGGAGAGTGTAAGTTTTCCAGTTGGATTTTTCCTCCCTGTAGTTTTTTTTTTTTCCATACAGTTGAAGCCCTTGTTTAGCATTTTGACTTATACTCATCCATTTTGACAATATCAGTCCAGGAAAATTCATCAATGACTGTTACAGACAAGACAAACATCTTTGACACAGCAGCTCATTGGAGATTGGAAAAATATATTGGGAAAACATCTCTACATATTTCCTTGTTCTTACACTGTTTCATTCAGAAATACAATACAGGAATGAGTAATCAAGTAAATGTTGGCTCGAGCTACTACAACCTCTCTTATATTAAATCTTTACTATTTTATATATTTATACACTTGTGCACACCCCAGAGTGTTGTCAGGAAACTGGTAATGAGTGAAAAGTAGAAAAGCTGTGGGATTCTATTGCCTGATTGAACTTCTGACCTTGAATTGTTTTACTCTTGGTGATTTACTGTGGATGCCAATAAAAAAAATAACCTCTCAAGAAAAGGAGGGTGGCACAGATGTGCATTAATCCCAGAGCTGGTCTGCTTGGAGAGGATCTGAAAGCAAGAGGCAAAATTTTGTGTAAACATCCATCCATTAATGGCAGCTGAGAGAAGCTGCCTCTGTGGACAGGGTGTTTCAATATTATCCAGTATTTTTGATTGCTGGTTTCTTTGGCTCCTTGCTGTATCTTTGGTACTGGCCAATGATGAAAACAGGCTATTTTTTCCTCCAGGTGGTGTTTGATCAGGTCTTCCATGCACCTCTGGACTGATCCTAAATTATCCGAAATCAGACACAGAACCTGGGCTAGGCTGTAGTTCCCCACTACACGCCCAGACCTCTTCCCAGCCATGGAAAAGTAATTTCAGATTTCGCTGAACTGAGGAGTTTAATAATAAGCTTAAAACCAGTTCTGTCGAATTGTGGGGTTTTTTCTAATCTTGATAATTTGTCAGCATGTCCTCGAGCGGCTAAGTACATAAAAAATGACCTTTTGAAGTTTCTCCCTAAAGGTGCAATCAGAAATAAAGAGAAAATGGAGGAGCTGGAAAGTCAACCGGTATTTTGCTGTGGATTTCAAACATCGCCATCCTTCTCTAGCGAGCAGCGGAGTGAACGGGGGGACACAACTCTCCATTCTGAGCAAGAGCAGCTCTCAGATTCGGATGTCCAGCATAAATGCAGAGAACCTGGCGACATGAGCAGCTGAGGAGAGCAAAGCAACCAACGAGCAAACCAAAAACCATCCCTTGGAAAAGAAAAAAAAGAGGAAATAATAGTTTTGGTGGTGGTGCAGGTCTCGCTCCCTTTCCTTTCCTTTCCTTTCCTTTCCTTTCCTTTCCTTTCCTTTCCTTTCCTTTCCTTTCCTTTCCTTTCCTTTCCTTTCCTTCTTTCCTCTCCTCTCTTCTCCTTTCCTTTCCTCTTTCCTCTCCTACCCTGAGGTGAAAAAGCAAATGAAATGTGTAAATATCTCTTTTTAACAGTCACTGTAAATACCCAGCTGTACTCAAGGCCATTAATGGAGAATGTTTAAAAGACAAACAAGAGGCCAAACCCACCCACTCAACTATTCCCATTTCAGAGCATCTGCGAGTAATCCGTGTCCGTCCAAAGTAACAAGTGATTGCTGTGCAGTTGTGATCCTTGGTTGCCAAACTGATCCTACTCTGTGAATGGACATGACCGTTGTCATTTATCCACTGGGTTTCCATTTTGGGTTGGATTTGCCTATTTTTGTTTTCCCCTGGTCCAACATGTCTTAGCCTGTCCCTGTCTTTTGGCACGTGAATTTCCGCCGTGTTTCTCTTTGGAGTCTTAGGATGGAGCAAATATGCTTGGGTGGATTGATCCAGCTGATTCGGGAGGACCTCCAGAAAATTGAGTTCATGGCTGGATTCAGACATTCCCGATGGATTTAGAGGAACAGCTGTGCCAACACCAAACTGCATATCAGTGCAGGAGCTTCAGGCGAGAGCAGTGGGACCTGCTGTGCTTTCCATCCCCAGGGACACTCCCAGGAATGCTTTCTGTTCTAGCTAAGCTGTGAATTTTCTAAAAGGGCCATGCAGTTGAGATATAGCTCTATTTTTGGCATCGATTGATAGATTGATCATTTGGACTCTTTATAACACAAATAACTGTCCCTCCTCTCCCTCCTTAAGAGCAAGAAGCAGTTCCAGGGTGGCCTTTCCCTCCAGATGACCTTGAACCCTCTGCTCCAGTGGCCACACGTGCCATGGGTGGCCTGGGGGGCAGTGCTGTCACACAGACTGCCGTGCCTTTGCAGCCTGGTTGACTTCTGAGTGCTGACTCTTCCCTGCCAGAGCAAAGAGGCACGAGAAGGACCTGGTGGGATCACCCTGGAAGGTAAAAAAAAAAAAATCACCTGAATTTGGTGAGGAAAAAAAACCAACTAAACTGAACACTAGGATGGCACGGAAGGAAAGGATAAAGACTTTGGATGACTTCCCACACCTGGCAGTTCTCTCTCTCTTGGGATATTCTGTTTGTTTCACCACCAATGGTCTTACTGCTTTTCTTGGAGAGGAGCTCGAATGTTCTTTCAACCTTTGCCTTGTAGTTAAAGCCACGACTGCTACAAATCTACTTCAACCCAATGTCGATGATGTCAATTCTTAAGAGTCTTTATACAGCGCAAAAAAAAAGCCTCAAAGGCCATCCTAGCGCTCCCTTCATCTTGGATTTATGGATTTATGAACTGAGAAATATATATATATATCAAATATATATATATGTGCGTGTATGTGTATGCATATATTACAAACAAAGATGAAAATGACATTTTAAATGTGAAGTATTGAACTGAAACTAATAGTAACCAGGAAATTCAAAATTCAGGCTTGTTCTTTGGTGTTAGTTGACATGATCATAAACTAAAAACAGAAAAAAAAAGTGAAATACTTGGAATTTTAGTGTCAGCTGAGTGTGAGCTTTTAATTTCACTGGTTTTTGTTAGTTTAAGTACAAAAGAAAAAAGAGTTTTGATGTCATTTTAAGCAGAGATTTTTAAAGATAATCCTAGTTTACTTATTTTTAAAAGGAGAAAAAAAGAAAGCTCTCAGAAAGTTGTGAAAGAAATAATAATTATAGTAATACTTAACACTTATATAATCCTTTACGGGAATATTCTGCTCTTAGCTGGAGCCATCTAAATGAATGTAAATTAAATTCAAAACAGACAGAAATGTTGTTTGAGGTCATACTGATACAGGATCATGCTCTTAAGTGATGGGCACAGCCCTGTCATGTGAAATCTGCCGTGGCACAGAGGACCAGCAGAACAGCTGAAACCACTTCCACTGCACTCCAGGTTCACAGATGGGATTTATATGATCCAAACACCTTTTTTTCCCAAGTTTACAGCACTGATTTGCTGCTCTGAGAGCAGAATTTTTTTCCCTCTTCTCAGCTCTCTGTAAAAGTCAAAGTGTTTTTAACTGATAGATTGTCCCTTTGTCTTTCTTCAGATGTTTCTTAAAGCTATTTCAGAATGTTTCTCCAGGAATCAGGTACTTTGCTGTCCAGACACAGCTGGGGAAAGGCAGATTTATCAGGTAAATGAAATCTGGAAATTTTATGTAGGGCTTTCACAAGGATTACATTGCCAAAACTGTAAATGTATTATTTGAAGAAAAAAAAAAAAAAAAAGCTATTTTTTTTGCATGAATGGCTATTAGCCAGTTTTCAGTCATAAATAAATTAGAATTGTGGAGAAAAAGATGTCAAAAAACTGCCTCTAGATGGAGACTTTTTCTTGTTTCAGCCCAGAGCAAGAAGGTGTTTGGATATTTTCTTTTTTTTTTTTTTTTTTTTCTGTTGTTTAAATTATTCTGAGCTTACTTCTGGTTTTTGTTGTTTTCCTGGCCATCCTAGAGTGCTCTGCAGTTTGAGTTGGTGGATCTCAGTCCAGTGCCTTGTGGGCAAATGTCCACATCACCAAAACCACCCTCTGACCCTGCACACTGGAGACCAGGTCCTCAGCTAAATTAAATCACTACAGAAAACTGCTGTTATTGTTAGAATAAACTGCTTCACCTGGAATTGGGATTTGGCCTCAGCACATTGTTATTACCTTTAAGTTTTGGTGGTCCTAGATAGAGAGTCCAAGGATGGAAAAGTTGTGAAAAGTTGGATTTGCTCCTTAATTCCTTGAGCCAATGCTCAGGAGTTTGGAGAGCAGTGGAAGAGAAATTTCTACTGTTGCAGATATTGTGTTTCTTGTTCAGTAGAAAAATTGAATCTGTTCACCAGCACTGAATTTACCAGAAGAAATGGGATCTTCAACATATTAAATACAAAATATAGTACACAAAAAAAAAAAAAAAGAAAAAAAAAAAAAAACAAAACATTCTATTATGATTTTATTTATCTGAATAAAAGTGTTGATGCACTGGCAGATCTGGCTTTTCCTGAGTCGCTGGAACTTTCCCAGTGTCCCTGGAAGGGACAGGTCACACTTGAGGTGGACACAGTTATGGGACCCAGACTCTGATGCCATGGCACAAATGAGCTCTCCACAAATCTCTCTGTTGAATGTAAGCTGCAGGTGCTGGCCAGGCGTGGCCACCCCGCAGTGGCTGTTTTTCCATTTGTTTCAGGAGGGAAGAATCCAACAGGCAGTTTGCTTCTGTGTGTGTGTGTAAATATCAACTGAGTGTAACAGTGCTTTGTTTGATTTTTCACTGTGAAATATATTTTGGAGCTAGAAAGGCTGTGTTATTAAAAACAGTACACAATTAAAACAAACAAAAAAAAAAGTGTGCAGTGCTCCTTGAGCCATTTTTTCTACCATGTCCATAATGTATTTCCTGTCTAATTTTCTTATTTTGCTTTTATAAATGTACAGAAAACTTTTTGTGCTGCAGGTTTTGTGACTATTTAATGTATCTAACCACTGTTTTGATTATTGACTTGTCAGTGTGGAGTGCTGGTACTACAGAACAATTCACATCCCAAAAATGAAAACTACAACCTAAATTGTAAAGGACAAAGCTGTTTCATTGCTGCATGGTGATGTCACCTCCTTTTACTTTCACTTTTAGTATTTCTGGAACTCAGAGCCCAGGGAAAGATCCTTAAATGCTTAGTTCTGGGAAGTTTTGAATCATAGAGGAAAAACACTCAAATTCCCCTGCATTATTTCTATATTTGCATTTGAAAACCAGGTGTTTTCAAATGCAAATATTGAAAGGGATGAAGGCAGGTGAGTCCAGAGAAAAATGCAGTTTGGAAGTTAAATCCAAACACTTTATTGGGTGTTTGACTGCTCCCTTTCAGCATCTGTCTCTCATTGCACCTTAAGGACAGTGCCCTCCAATGACAAGGCTAAATAACAACCAGCAGTGGCCGTGAACTGATAATTTGAGTTTACCTTTGCAAAGATGACTCTCCCTGGACTCTCTCCATCATCAATGGCAAGTGTGAGATACCTTCCAGAAGGGAATGAAGTTCACAGAATCAACGACCAAGGCTGGAGGTGACCTTGAATGACAAATTTAGTCCAACCTTTCATGAGAAAGGGAGCCAGGATGAGTTTATCCCACACCCTGTCCAGCCACTTCTTGCAAACCTCCCCTGACAGGGACCACACCACACCTCTGGGGAGGTTCTTCCTACGAATGGCTGTTCTCACTCTAAAAAAATGTCTTTCTTGTATCAAGATGATCCCTCTCCTGGTGCAGCTTGCCGCCCTTGTGTTCTCCATGTGGATCCTTGTGGAGAAGAGAGCCTTCATCCTCTTTCTGACCACTCTTTTTGGTGAGGTCTCCACTGAGGCTTCTTTTCTCCAGGGAAAAAGTCCCTCAGTTTTTCTTCACTTCCCCCATTGTCCATCCCTCTGATGATCTTCACGGTCCTCCTTGTGACCTTCTCCAGTCTGGCCACTTCTTTCTTGCAGTTTGAGGACCAGAATGGGACACAGGAGTGAGTTTCTTGGACTCATGCTAAAAACCTGACTGTGAGACTCCGATCCTCTTCAGCAGTGACAGAAGCATTAGTTGCCATAATTTGACTTGCCCATGTATTATAAAATTGTAGCTTTTCATAATATTTTCATATCAAAGGTGAATGAAATTCCACTTCTGCTTGCATATGAAGGAACTTCTGGTCAGCTCAAAAATTCAGGGGTTTTTTTCAAAAGCCCCACGGACAAAAGAAACCAGTAACTAAAAATAGGCAAAGC